TAGACTTCCTAGACTCCAGACCTGTGAGAAACAAGTATCTGTTGTTGTTTAAGCCATCCATCTATGGCATTTTGTTATAGCAACCCAAGAAGACTAAGACAGCCATGTAACATTGTTACCACAAACTTAGTGGCAATACACATTTATCATCTCACATTTTCTGTAGGTCCAGAGTCTGGCTTTAGCTTAAGTGGCTCCTCTGATTAAGGTCTTAGAAGATTTCAATCAAGACTATTGGAGGATGTAGTTTCATCTGAGATTCTAGTGGGTAAAAATATGCTTTGAGTCTCATTCAGTTTGTTGTCAGAATTAATTTTCTTGTTATTGTAGGACCAAGGGCTTTGGCTTTTTGATTGCTATCAGTTGGAGGTCATCTCAGCATTTAAAGGTCACCTGTATAGTTGCCCAACATGTTTACTTCCTTCCTCAAAGCCAGTAAGGGAGAGAAAGAATAACTCAGCAAAATGGGTATTATAGTCTTTGTAAGAGAATCACATAAGAACATATAGTCCATCACATCTGTCATAGTCTGTTGGTTAAAATCAGTCACAATACTCAAGGAATGAGTATCACATCAGAGCATGAACACCAGGAGGACAGATCCTTAGGGCTATCTTAAGAGCCTGTCCACTACAGGTTGATATGTAGAGATAAACCCAAAACAGACTATATGGAACTTATCCACAAATGAAGAGAAGTTGGTGAACTATACAAAAATCAAATGCCTGTCTTTTTGCCTTTGATTCCTGGTTGGAGAGAATTTCCTCATTTCCATACCTGTGAGTCCACAAACCAAAATTCAGAACAAACTCCAATAAAACATTATAACACTAACCAAAATCAAATGCTACTTTAAAAAAACCAAACTATAAATTAAAAATGTCTCTCTAGTGATCCAGTTTAAACTGGAAATATTGTTTTTAGATACCATTTGTTTATTCTTTCTGATTGAACCATGTTTTCTGAAATTACTACCATAAGACATGTATCTTGAATATGTATGTAAATATATAAATTATAACTTTACCATCATTCCTTTTCTGTAACCAGCTCTACATTTGTCCCTTGAATGCTCACAGACTTTAAGATGAATATCAAATATTAGCCCTTGGTAACAGGATACTGATGATGTGCAATGACAGAATTGGAGGAATTGGAAAGATAGTTGGATTTAGGAAAGAATGGTATCCAACATTTATTAGGCACTTACTATCTACCATATTCTATTCTAAATCCTTTGTAGGTATTATCTACTCTAATCTTCCCTGGTATTCTTGCTATGTATCCCCATTTCAGTGAAAAGGAAACTAATGTACATGGATATTACGTGATTGCCAAGGTCATATGAACAGTATGTTTCAGAACCATGATTCAACCTAGGAAGTTGAATTCAAACACTCACACAGTTCACTACTGTACCAGAGTCTCTGCAGTAAAAGGAAATGTTACAATTTTACTCAGGAAAAATTGAGTTTGACTAGTTGACGCTTGGTCATTTGAGAAGAAATGTCCTAAAGATTGTGGAGATATGAAATTGGCAGTGGGGTAGAAATGAGCGTCAATGTTGGCATGCAGATAACTAGATGAACAGTCAAGTAGACCAATCATTCAAATGGTTTCTTTATTCAGCATCTGCTTTATGCCAGGTGCTGACCTAAAAACTAAGGATGGCTCATGGTGAACAGGACATTTGAAATGTCTGATCCTACAGGACTGACATTCTAGTGGGAGAAGATAAAGAAGTAAACAAATAAATTTCAGGGCTATAAAAAATCAAGATAATATAATAGTGTCTTCAGATATGTTTGTGGAGAGGCTGGCTGTTGTCTACTTCTGACAATTTATCAGATCAGTGAAAAAAAGTCTCCCTGAGGAGATAGCATTTTAGTTAACCTGCAATGATGAGGAATCTGCCATGAGAAGATGGCAGAGAGGGGCAGGCAGGAATGAGAAGCATTCTGAGAAAAAGGAGCAGCAAGTAGGAGTCCCTGAGAAATGTATAGCCAAAGACAGAAAAATGTTATGCCTTTATACAATTGTATTTTCTTTGTTTCAGTATCTCCTTTCTCCAGTATTCAGTGAACTGTACAAATTATCTCAGAATCTTCAACACCATATTATTTAGTAGACACACAGTGTGAATTTGTTCAATACATTAATGGATTGATTCATTTAGCAATCATTTTATTAAGCCTTCATTCATGTACCAGGTACTTCGGAGATACAAAGATGACCATGTGAAAGCCTGAGTCCTCAATGAATTAAAATATGTGGGGAGCAGAGTTGGAAATAATTAAAATTCAAGATGGTCAATACTATTGGTGCTAGCACAGCATTAGAAAAAAGAATGAGCTGGGTGCAACGACACATACCTATACTTACCAGCAACTTGGGAAGCTGAGGCCGGAAGATTACAAGTTTGAGTCTAGCCTGTGAAACTTAGCAAGACACTGTCTCAAAATAAAGTAGAAAGTGTTGGGGATGTAGCTCAGTAATGGAATTCTCCTCGGTGCATTCCCCAGTACTGCAAGAAGAAGAAGAAAGAAAAAGACAAAGAAAAAAACAAAAGACAGCTTACTCTTTATTTGATGGGGGGTGATTTGGGGAAATTGCTTATGCAGTTTCAGATGACAAAGTTACAGCTGTGTCTTGAAGATTAAGATAGTTGGGGGCTGGGTGTAGTGACACACACCTGTAATCCCATCGACTCAAGAGTCTGAGGCAGAAGGATAGCGAGTTCAAAACCAGTCTCAATAAAAGCAAGGTGCTAAGCAACTCAATGAGACCCTGTCTCTAAATAAAATACAAAATAGGGCTGGGGATGTGGCTCAGTGATTGAGTGCCCCAAGTTCAATCTCCAACATTTCCTCACTACCTAAAAAACGATAAGGGATGTTAAACAAACAAACAAACAAAAACCCAGAGTGTATTCAGTACTACTGTGACAGGTTTGAGAACCATTGCAACAGGGTCTTGCAGTGGGGCAAAGAGATCGAACTCAACTTCAGTTGTGAATACAGCAAAGGCAAGTGGGAATTAATAGCCAAGGAGCAGGGCAGGCATCTGTGGATGAAAAACTATTAAAAAGGAACATCAAGGAGGATTCTGCCTAAACCAGTTTACCCGAATTTTTGCAGGGCAATGTTCAAACTCATTTGAACTGGGGAATGGTGGAGTAATGGACCCAGTCAGATATGGATGGTGATCAGAAAGTGAGGATGAGGGTGAGGGAGGAAGGATCTTGTCAAACTGACTTAGAAGGGCTCTTTACTAAAGCTAGATTTTATAAGAAAGTTCACACATGTGCCTAAGACAAGGTCAGGATGATGCCTAAAGTTCAGCCAAGCAAAGAATCTTAGGGGCGTAAATAAGAAAAGGCATTTTAGGCAAAAGGATCAGCTTGAGCAAACATTTGAAGGTGACAAAGTACATATCTGGTTTCCTAAACCCCAAGAAGTCTAGGAGTAGATACAATAAGTGAAAACTAGTAGTATGTGCAGAAAGAGTAGTAGCAGTCAGCAAGCTTAGTCAATAACTATCTGTAAATCATAACAAACAAAAACACAAAGAAGCCACTTAAAGGAGTGCCACTAGCCTAATGGGATGATTTCAGCATCATAAAGAATCATCATTTTAATGGATTAAGACAACAGAAATGTAAAATGCATGCATTCATAATGATACTAAACAAACAAAAAATTTTGTGGTTAATATTGGAGTTTGCTAGGATATTTTGTGGTTAATGTTGGAGTTTGCTAGGGTACTGACTCATTTCTCTGAATTTTATACTTAAGAGAAAAACACTCAGCATTTATCTAGTCTCTTCTCTATGAGCTTTATTTCAATCCAATGAGTTGGTTTGAGAAAGTTCTTTTTTGGAAGAATCCCCAAGATAAAGAATCATTGAGAGTACTAGAAATCAACTGTTCTAAAATAAAAGACTTAATATAAATACCAAAAAGCAATGTGAGGACTTTTTTGAATCTTGAATAGAACTAACTGTAAATGACATCTTGGACTCAAGCTGGGAAATTCAAATACATAGTATTAAATTACAGGAAGCAATTAGTGTTCATTTAGATACAATAATGGAGCTTAAACATTTTTTAAAATCTGCATCACTTTGAGATACAGACACGATTTTAAGAGTAAAATAATATTATATCTGAGATTTCTTTTAAAAAGGAGAGAAAGATAAAACTAGACTGGGGAAATGCTAATAAAATTTGATTCTGGGTAATAGATACTTTATTAAAAGTGGGCTCAGTTTTGACCATCTTCAAATTTTGCTATTATAGTTTTTAGAAGGCCTACAGCCCTTCCTCCTTGATCTAATAATGCCCAGGCTGAGTAGGGGGCAGCAGTCTGCGGATTAAGTTATGGAACTAGCCCACTCTAAACGCTGATGCGGTGGGGCGATAGCCAAGGCCTAACACTGAGGAGCCTGAATTCCTCATCGCTCTCTCACAAGTCCCCTGGAAAGGGACTTTCTGAAATGAAATCACCCAACCATTCTAGAAGGTTCTGAGACTTCCCAGGGATTTCCGAAAGAGTTTACAGGCTATAACTGGCAAATCGCTGTGAGACTGCCCTTTTCCTTAGCTCCTGGCGTTGACCCTGCGTGGAACGCTAAAAAGCTGCGGGCCACCTCTAGCAAGCTTACTGGGATTGAGGCTGTCCCTCTCCCATCCCTTCCCTCCCCACTCTCCTTTCCTCCTTTTGGTTTTCCGCCCTAACCCGGCTCCAGGATCCTCACACCGGCGCCTCGCCTCGCCCCGCCCCTCTAGAGCCTCGCCCCGCCCCTCTAGCGCCTCGCCCCGCCCCTCTAGCGCCTCGCCCCGCCCTGCATCCTTGTCCGGCCCCGCCCCTCCAGAGCCTCGCCCCGCCCCTGACCCGCGCGCGCCTTTTGCAGGGGAGGGGTAGGTTACCATAGCTACGGTGCACACAGAAACTGGACCTCCCTAGCTGTCCCTGGCTGGCCCGAGGAAAGAGGCAGCACCATGAGCCGCGTAGTGACGATCGAGAAGTCCTCGACTGACCGTCAATTATCTCAGCAACTGTGTCGGGAGAAGTCGAGGGGCTACTTTTCCTCCAATCGAACGTACGATTTCCTTTATGGTAAGGCTGCCCCAGAACCCGCTCCTGGGCTGTCGACTCTTGGGCCAGATTGACCTTACAGTTGGTAGGACCTTGCCGGGGAATGGTGAACGAAGGATGAACCTCTGGATAGACTCCCTGCCCAAAGTTGTCTACTGTTAGGCTGGGGCAGCTATGAAGCTCTTCAGATGGCCGCGCGCTCAGGTGCGCCATGCCAGGTGCACCGCGCGGGGACACCTTACTCTTTGTCTCTCTCCTGGGATCATTTGCTCAGATCTGAGCTATCTTTCTGAAACCTACTTCGGCGGAAAAGTATGGAGAGATTTGCAGATTTGGGTATTCATGCACACAATGTTCCCACATTCAAATTGCATACAATGCCCAGCAAAAATGATCTTCCAGCTCTCATTTGCTGGGCAGCTTCAAATTTTGCATTATAGATAAAGAGGCTGCAGTTTATCTCACTTTTGATTTTAGCGTTTTATTTTTCATTAAACGTTTTCTCTTCCATTAAAATACTGTTTAAAAACTATGTTCCTCTAGCGCCAATAAAGCTCCAGTTTATTTTAATTCTCCGACTTTCCACTTGTGTTCTAACTCTATTGGACCTCAAAGTCCTGTTCTATATATTCTCAAAATCTATTTCAACGCTGGTACATATGCTAGGTACTTCAAAATGTTAATTCAATTACCAAATTTACTGTTACATTTGTTACAACAGTCAAACATGATTTTTTTTTCCAGTTTTGTTCTCAGTAGCTCTAGGCTTTGGCCTGAATCTAGCATTGTTTCCAAACATATGGTGTTGCCTTTGGGATGCCCAGAGTCTTCTTTGAATGGGATCCTATAGGGTACCCATTTCCTGGATAGGAGCTATGTAATGATTGCTTACATATTCTGGCCCGGGATCTTTATTCACGCTTGGTTTCATCTTTTAAAATAAATCTAGTAAAGTCCTGTAAACATATCTCTATGTTGCTTTCAAAGGTAATTTGGGAAGGAAGATAAACATCTTCAGTAAAGACAAGCAAAGAATTTATTAAGCTTGTTGGTTGTTTTACCTCTAAGTGTCTCTTTTGCAGAGATTGCTAAATGTTTCCATATCCCTTGGAAAGAACAGAAATCCATTCATAATAGGTCAATTGAAAGTCTGCATTGTTACAATAAAACCGGCAAGCTCATGCAGCTAGTCATGGACAGGAAGCAAGGTATAACCAGGACAGACTAGAACCTGGACAGGAAAATTAAACACTAATGTGACATGCTTTCCTGCTTTCTTTCTTTGACCTTACAGTCTTTTACCCTGTTAGTGTTGACAGATTTAGCAAATAAAAATAGAGGATGTACAGTTAAATTTGAATTCCAGATAAAAAACATAATATTTTAGTATAATTTTTTCATCCCATGCAATATTTGGGACATTTATATTAAAGAATTATTAATGGCTTATTTGAAATTCAGATTTAACTGGCAACTCTAGCTATCTGTATTTTATCTGGCATGTTATTGTTTTCTATGTGTGTGCTTCCTTTTTCCATTTGACAACCACTTGTGTATGGATTTATCTTACTAGAACAGGGGCTGGGGTGGCACTCTACATAACCTCTTAATCCTAAAGCTTACCACCAATTGTATAGAATAGAGTTTCATGTATCTTAGTTGAAGATTTAAAATAAATAACATTGATGCTGACCAGCTGGTAAGTTTGTTGACCTTGGGTCTGGTTTCCATCTGTAGGAAAAAAAAAAAAAAGAAGTGATGGGTTAGGTATGGGGTCAAAGGTACAAATATGAACACCTCTAAGCTCCTTAACTGTTATCTAAGAAGCCCTTGGTTATTTCCTTCACTTTTAATGTATTATTCTTTGCATCATTCTATTTCATTCACCCTGGTCTCTGCTGTTCTCCAACATATCAGTCATGCTTTCATCTTAGGGCCTTTCATCTAGTGATTTGCTCTCCTAAAATGTTCTTCCTCCAGATAGTCATATAGCAAATCCCTCACCTTCAAGTTTCCTTACATGTTATGTTGTCATGAATTTAAAATTTGATCCCAGTCTCCCTTACCCTGATATCTTTTTTTTAATAGCACTTATTATTCTCTAACATATTATATAATTTCTTGTTTATTATTTTTGTTGTTTAATGTGCTTACCATGAAGTCAGTTTTTAAAAATCTTTTTGTTGATGTATGTAGTCCAAGCATATAGGACATAATAGCCAGTCAAAAACACCTTGTTGTGTGAAGGAAAAAGGGAGCCTGAGCCCCTTGCAGCTCTTCAAATGTTGGTGGAAATATCAGATAACTACATCCAGCAGGTTGTTTTTTTGGGCAACCACAGAGTTGTTAGGTTTTAAGAATTGACTCATTCAAGTTCAAATGAAACTTATTTCTAACATTACAATACCAGTTTACTAATATCTATGAAGAAATATATGTCACTCGGTTGCCTAGACTAGCTGGTCAGGGTATTTGTTTCCCCAGAGATAAGTCTACTTGGGAAATCAAGTGTCTCTCTGAAGACTGTTTATGAGTTCAGTGTCAAATCAGTTCATTTTAATGGGTGATGTAATCAATCACTAATATTCTTCATCATTAAAGATATACCTAATAAATAAGTTCTTATAACAGCAGGTTAATCTTCTATGGAACTTCAGAGAGATAACTTAGGCCCATCATCAATGTACAGTACTTATAAACGTAAGGAGTACATTCTGAAGATAGCTGACCTTATTTATTTCTTATTAGAAATTGAGAGTTCCTTACCATGTCTACCAATTCTGAGGAACTTTGCTATTTGCCTCTTCTTAGTACACTGAATATAGAACTAGTACCTAAATTTATTGTTTCTTTCTCTTGTAACTGGGCATAGTACATATGTATATATAATATCTTTTCTCTTAAAGTATTTTCTGGACTACGAAGGACTTCATAGGAAAGAAGAGAGCTATTTAGGGTATTGTGCTTGTAAAGATGCTGGTCTTTCTTTTTGCATTCCATTTTCATAAACTGACTTGGAATATACAGGAAAGAAATGTATCTAACAAATTCTCACTGGTAGATAGAATTGAATAATAGGGCCATCAGTTGCTGCAGAGTTAGGCAATATCTAAACTTTCTAATTTGTTTTCCAATTGAGAAATTACAAGGCAGACATGGTGTTACATACCTATAGTTCCAGATACTTAGTAGGCTAAGACAGGAGGATGGTTTGAGCCCAGGAGTTTAAGGCTAGTCTGGGTAACATAATGAGACCTCCATTTCAAAAAAAAAAAAAAAGAAGAAGAAGAAGAAAGAAAATTATATTGCTTTGCTAGTGTTCTCACCCTAGGAGAAAATTCTTTCTACTCCTTATACTACTTTATTATGTTTTTTCTCAGATCCATTGTATATTGTGTCAAGCGCAAAAGACCACACACAGGCATATATTCAAGCCACCCTGATTCGAAGCCGACTGGTATGTCTGATTCATCTACTAAGGCAACCTAATGAATCTGAACTGTCTAGCATGGCTAACTGCTTTAATCAGATTGACAATCATCAGATCTCCACTGGATTTTAGGGTCTGCAGAAATAACTTTGCTATGATTACTAGGGGGCAAGGCATCTCAATACTTGTGATACAAGAGCCATTTGTTAATTTACTTTGATGGAAAAGATACTCATGCCTGGGTTGGAAGAATGCAAGCAGTATGAAAGCATATACAATATAAACTAATTCTAGCCCTGCCATGTAAATAGTCACTGTCATCAGTTTCCTGAGTGTCCTTTTAGAGATTGTCTATGCATACAACAATTGTTTTCCCAATATTCGTTGTCTTGTTCTATTTTTTTAAAGTTTATAATATAATTAAAGTGCTTTAGAAAATCTGATGTTTTATATATGTATATAATTATGTTCTTTTTCTCCATTCCTCCCTTTCCTAACATTAGAGAAAAGTTCCCAGATTTAGAAGCATGTTCAGTAACCTGATTCATTATCCAAGATATTCTCAGTATTGGAGCAAGTCTGATCCTCTCCCACCATTTATCAGTCGAGAATGGAGGGGACTTGAGAAGCATAAAGAAGTCCTCTGGCAGCTTTCCACGTAAGTGTCAGGTGGCTCCTGACACTAAATATACTTGTGTATTTTTATTTTTAAAAATTTTAATGTATTTACTCTGCATTATTTAAAAATGTATGGTTATAATGTTTACCTGGACCAAGTTCTCTTGTTAAACCCCTTCTTCCAAAACAAGCTTGATTAAGGAGCAAAGGTTATACATTTATTGGTTAGTAGTTTTCAGAAGGTTGGCATGAAAAAAAATATGTAAATTACTAATTCACAAATTATTATTTGTGAGAAACTTCCTTATTGAAATATTTTTATGCTGATTTTTTTTCAGAGAAATGTTAAAATTCTTTGTGTGTGTGTGTGTGTGTGTGTGTTTTACGTGGTGCTAGAACTTAGGGCCTCACATATGCTAGGCAAGCATTCTACCACTGAGCTCAGTGTCTAAGCTTAGTGTCATATCTAAGAAATGTTAAATTCTTAACTAAAGCATACTCAATTTCTAGATTTTGGGGAAGGATGCTTTAAATTAAATTACTGGGAATTTCAGAATGTCTTAGGAACTGGAGAACTTGCTGGGGCTAATGACCCCTGAAGCCCAAGTAGTTTTTGAAATCATAGCTTGTTTGCAGGGAAGAGACTGGTATGCCTGCTAATAATGACCTGAAGGTTGCAGAATGTGTATACATTTATTGACAACTTGCCACCAAAGATAGGAATGACTGAGTTTTTGTTACTTTGATCCATCTTTAGAAATTGTAAGTGCTCTTTTCTGCTAGTGTCCAAAATATTTTTTGGAGACTTACAGCCAAATCACCTTACTCTTGAAATCATTTTTTAAACTACAAGTTAATATTTAGTAAATTAACAAATGATAATGCTTTTGGAACTTTGTTATTCTCATGTGCTTTTAATTAAAAGTGGGCATTTTTATATACAGGATTTCACAAATATATTTATTTCTGAACTCTCACTCCCTATTACTAAGTTCTTGTTTCCTGGCTTACAGGAAGTAATCATGCCTAGTCTAAGATGTAGGACAGCTAAATGCATGATAACGAAGACTTCCCTGTTACTATGAAATATTCAGGCTCTATAGATGTAGAAATGTTAAGTAGAAATTAGAGGTGGAAATGATACACTTGAATAATGTTTTCCTGCTTCACTTTAGAATGGGCACTTGTTTTCAGATGCCTAAAGAAGTTTATGAAAATCCCGACGTTACTGGAAAGAATCGCTATAAATACTTTGACAGGTACAAAATGACTAATGAACATTTCAGTCTTGACATTGTTAGAAAATCTCTTTACATCAATGATAACAGCTATCATTTTAAGTGCATGCAATACACTTCACAGCTAATGGCTGGTGAAGCCCAAGTGGAGAACAGTTTCTGAAATCATGGCTTGTTTGCCATCACAAAGAAGATACTGGTATGCCTTCTGAAAATGCACATTCATTAACTGTGTTCTACAGCTATTAAGTCTTCTGGGCCAGACTTGGGAATGTGCATTTTAAACAAGACCTTCCTCCCTCCCCTCAGTGATTTTTATATATGCCAAAATTTTAGTATTTTTGTTACATGAGATATTTGTTGTGTGGCAGATCCCTCAGAAAACACACTAAGTCCTAGTTTTGCCCAAATTGAAGAGTATTTAGCCAGCTATACTGCTCCCCACAGGACCCATAACTGTCTCTGCAAGGAATAGCCCCAAGCCTGAGCATTTTAGGATATTTAAAAGCAAAAACCACATCCGGGTTGATGTAGCTGCAGGCAACAGGTACAGAAGCTGGATTGGGCAATTAGCGAGACAATGCAATGGGTACATTGGTGTTTCCCACAGGATTTTCCAGGTTGGCATAGCAGCAAGGAAGCAGAAGGGAAATTGGTCAAAATGACCCTAGTTCAGTACAAATTAAGAGAATGGTTACTAATGTCTAGACAATCAATCTCTGACAAGGTACATTGCCAAAGTAAAATGGAAACAAAGGAGAACAATTTTACATTGTATAAGAATTGGCTATTTTGTGTTGCCAAGTCTAGGTAACTATTAATGGGTACAGAAGAGGGGCTTTCCCATGGGAGAAGCTTTTCTTACATGATAAGGAGTCTCAGGGAAAATAGAGTCTGTTTGGTCATTGCCCAGATAGCCTGGTCCATAACATATTCAAAGATTTTAAGAAACACATACTAAAATTAGAAGAAATGCAAAATGCAAAAGTCCCACACATCTGTGTTTTTCTTTTTCATCCCAGGCCCTTCCTTCCCTTTTATCAACAGATGCCACTCAGTGTTGTTTTTGCAGCAACCAAGTAAGTGACCATTATTTCAAAACACTCTTTTGATTTGTTATTTCCTTCCATATTTGCTTTTAGAAGATAGTTCTCTAAATCAATATTTTTCAGACTGTGGATCAAAACCAGTAGAAAGTGTGAAATTTTCTAGTGGGTCATGAGCAGCATTTTAAAAAACAAACAACAATAGAAAATAACCAGAGTATCAGACATATTGAGGAAGAGTTGTTTTTTGGTATACTTTTTAAGATGGGTATATGCATGTTTTTATGTATATAATGAATTATGATAAAAATGTATTTCTTATTATGAGTTGTCTTAGTCTAATTATTGTAATAAAATACCATAGAATGGGTAATTTATACATAATAGAAATGTGTTTCTCTGGGCTGGGGATGTGGCTCAAGCGGTAACGTGCTCGCCTGGCATGTGCGGGGCGCTGGGTTCGATCCTCAGAACCACATAAAAATAAAATAAAACCGAAAACTGAAAAATAAATATTTAAAAATTCTCTCTCTCTCTCTC